AATCTGACCCCCAGAATTTATTTTTAGTGCACGAAATATTAATCTACCAACTCAATGTAAACTCTTGGAATGTTTAAGCCTTCATAAAAATGTATAATATTAAAATGTGGTTAAATTAAAGATAATTATTTAGTACCTTGAAATTTAATTGGTTTATGTTAAGTATCTACTATATTAGTGGAAATGCCTACAGAATCTAGTGTATATAGTGTCACATTTTCAATGCATCAGGTGAACTAAACATGACTACTTAACATAATAAGCACTTTTAAAAGTAGTACTCATATCACATGTCAATTTATCTTCAAATTGGTGCATAAATTTCCCACAAAGGACCTACTACATAATTTAAACAAGAAGTAAATTGTTATTATGGTGATATTATAATATTTATTCTTTTTACATTGGTTAAACTTTCCAATCTATGATCTTTTAAATAACTGAATTGAAAATACATTTTAAACAAAAAAGGAGAGTGAAAGAAATATAATTTTAAAATATTAATCATTCAGACCTTCCCATCCAATTTTAAAATGTAGGAAATACTCCATTTATTTACTGTTTATCACAATGTAAGAGTACTTGATCTGTTTTAGTGTGTTTTCTATTGCTCATTTAAAATTTTAGATTCATCTCAGAAGCTGACTTAAAAGATGACTGTATAGTTAAGGGACTGCATTGTTAAAAGACCAATTCTTTTCAAGAATTTTTAATATTATTGGACTAAAGTCTCAAATATTTCATTATTTCAGATAACTTAATATAGGCTTTTGATTACTACTTCTGGTCAAATTTAAAATACTTAACTCTCCTAGACAATTATCTCTATTAACCATTGGAAAGATCTAAGAAAACAGTCTACTTTCAAATTGTCTCCAGTGCTTTTACAAAAATGTATCCAATTTCACCGTTGCAATTACAAAGAGCTATTTTGAATTGTTTGATATTTTGTTAAAGTATGTTGCCCAAAATAAATTGATTTTTAAAACATACATTTTACCATACTCCATATTTTGAATAGGACACAAAAAGGAAATATATTAGTTCATTTTGAAATTTGACTATTTCAGCCACTTTTTACAGCTATATTTTCTTGTTTCAAAATAGGTTAAATTTTATCTATTTTTTTATAACTTAGGCTTTAAGTTAATGAAAGTATCTATCACCAACCTAAATAGTTCATAAAGGAAAACATATCTTAATTTTACACAAATATTAAAAATAAAAGTATAAGCAGAAATTATTTTTCCTCACTCAAAATAGCACAGCGGATAGAGCGTTTGCCTCGCACGCGGCCGACCTGGGTCACCTGGGTTCAATTCCTCCGCCCCCTCGAAGAGTTAGGCAAGCCACTGAGAGTATCCCACCCACAAGGCAGAGCCTGGCAAGTTTCCTGGGCGTGGTGTATTCGCAATGCCAAAAACAGTTACAAGTCTCACAATGGAAACGTTACTGGACCCACTAGAGCAAATCGATGTAAAACGGGAGGACAGTGCTACAGTGCTAATTAAAAGTTATAAATGTGAATTAATCAGGTTTATATTTATATAGCATGTCAACTCTGTTATTATTATAAGTAGGAATGAGACAGCTTATTACCTCATTCCTACTTTGGACAAACTGGCAGGCTACCAAATGTAACCTGCCCACACGGCAGAATCTGGCAAACTCCCCGTGGCATACCCAATATGCCAAATACCAGTAACAAGGATGAGTCTCATTCTTCTAACCCTGAAAGAGCCTTGAATATGGCACTTTTTAAAAAATCTCAAGGCTAGTACGAAGGAGACGTTACTGGGGCCTGCTCGAGGCAATCGACGAATAACAGGATGGTCGTGATCATTGTGATCGTCAACTCTGTTAGATTGTCCAACGAGGTCTTAGTCCACTAATATTGAGGAAGAAGAACCAGCATAAAATTCTATCTTCTAATATGACCAATAGTTGTAAATCTTTAATCTGGTTTATGTTTTTAATCTTTGAGAATATACACTTAATAAACACATATTTTTAATAATGAATTCCTCTTCAAACACAGATTAGACATGGACTTTTTTACAAGGGTCACTGCAGGAAAATTATTTGATAAAATAGCTAAAATTTAAATTCATCTAGCTAGTTAAAATAAATCTCATCAGTAGCACATCATACCTTAATATCTAGTCTAACATGGAGAAGGCAAAAATCTTGTCTGTATCACTGTGATAAATAGTTCCACATTAGTTCTTAACTTTTTTTTTTAATCCTATATACTCAAAGGCACAGGGTTTGGAATATGAATTTGCCTCATGCTTCCTGCTTACATTTCACCTTGAATTAGACTGGAAAATTATGGGAGTATATGTTTCTCAGTTAATTCAACAAATACCAATTATCTAACCCATGTTCTCTAATAATTGATTTTTTCCCCAATTCTGCTATGTTTGTCGTAAGGATATTCAGCCCACTCATTTGAACAAAAAAATTTTCATTTCTTCATTGAAAAATATTTTCCTCATTTAAAATTCACGCACAAAATATTTTTAAAGTTGTAAACATAATAAATTACATGTAATTATGAAAAAGATGGTAATTACTGACTGGGTATCCTTATACTCAAAATAAGCAAAGATTATTCAGTTTAAATATCTCACTCCAAATAGGTTAAAGAGTAAAATAAATAATTTTGTACATTTTCTACCTTTTGTTCTGAGTGTGTACAGCTTCTTGTCAGCTTCTCATGTTGATAGGTACGTCATAAGTAACATTTCATTTTACATAACATTTCATTAAATAAAGTAATAAATAAAATTATGCCAAATTAGATTAACCAATGCAACAGACAAAAAGAGAGTAGCACTTTATAATTTATATATAGAAACCATAATAGAAACTTTAGAAGACTTAGAAACTAAATTTGAAAAAGGAAATAAAAATGAAACTAATGTATCTGACACTTTGTCTTTACAAATATTATTAAAACATCAATAAAGAGTTGTTTACTATTGATAAAGCACCTACACATCTATTTGGATCACAAATTATCTTTAAAAATTAGAAAATCTTTTGTTTTTTTTTTGAATCTCAGATGTGACTTTACTTTACTTTACTCAGATGTGACAAAACATTTAAGTAAGTAACATTCATGTTCTAAAGAGAATACTTTATTTCTAAAACTACTCAAAATGTTGACATACCTTTAAAAACTTCTAACACAAACTAAAAAAAATTATGCAAAAACCCCACCAACTATTCCACAAGCCTTGTGTATGTATACAGTTTGTATGCATTGATAATTTGGCATTTCTGATGAAAAATAACACTCCTACTGAAATACAACATTGATTTATACTAAATTATTTTTAAATTAAATATTTCTCACAGGAATGACAACACTTCTGCAAAACATTAAGTGCTTTGACTTTCTTACAAAACCAATTTCTAAAATTATATAGTAGATAAAGGCAAAAAATTAAGGAAAACTGATCAAGTATTTTGTTAGTTGAGTGAATGGCAAGTAAATATTTAAAATCATTAAAAATATATTCCCAAAGATTTAAAAACTATTTTCAATTTTGTTTGCTCAGTACACTTACCTATTTTGAGGATTTTTCAATTAAAATGTATTCAAGTTGATGAAAAACTCTATAATTCAGGTTAGAGAGTTTATTTGTGTTACATAAATTATTATAAATTATTCCTGTGTCTTATGTAACCTATAGCCTTAGTTTCACATGTACATGAATGTAAAGTTTAGAAAATATTTGAAACATATGTTTTTCAAAAGTGAAAATGTAATATATGTGTGCTACAGTGACTGATCATATTTTAGAATTCTACTTGAACACACAATAGATTATATTTTTTACATTTAGCATAAAGCATTTTGGTGAGGGGCTTGGTCCAACTATTTTTTTTTTATAATTTATTTATTTATTGAATCACTGTGGGAAAAGTTACAGAGCTTTCAGGTTTAGGTCTCAGTCATGTAAATATCAAACACATTTCCCTTTACCAATACTTAATTTTTACCACGAACCCCAATAGAACCCCACCTCCCAACCCTCCCAATTCCTGTGAGGCAGATGAGTTCTAGTTAACACTCTATTTACTTTGACTAGATTCATTGTTTTGATAAAAGATTCACCATTATTATTTAGAGTTTACCCCCCCCCCCCAATCAGACATGCTGAAAAAGCGTTGTGAAATGATTTACTTTCTACAGCTGGGTTCAAGAATTAAATGGTTTTGGATTTCTGCTATTTTACTTATTAACCCTGTGGTCCAACTATTTTTATGAGCGCTTAGGTGAGATCACCCATTTGCTTTTATTGTATGGGACAGTATGTCCAACTGGTTTGGTTTGTGGATTCAGGTGGATTGAAGAATAACACAATTTGGCACCAAAGTTAAAGATTCATTAAGTTATATTCACAGGATATATGCATTAGGTGATAGTAAGAGACATTTACAACCCAGAATATAAGAGCAGGGCAGCCTCAAGTGACATCACCAGCTCATCTGCAGCGTCAACCAACCAGCTCAACCATATATCCTCCACACCACTGCTCCCCTCTCTTTCTCACTGTGAGAAAATCTTATATTGACTTCACAGTGTAGAGAGCATGTGTCTTCTTTAGAAGGCAGACATATGCTTACTCAAGTGAAAAGCAAATAAGAAAAAATGAAAGGAACAGAATGAAAAACTAGACTAGGTACAATTTTCACTAATTGGACTCATAGGTGATAGGAATTGTACTAAAATGATGAAGCAGACATTAGTCTAAATTACCCAGGCAAGACATTTTTTTAAAAGGACAAAAATAAAAATAAAGGGAAGAAAGACAAATATTTCTGAGATGAAATCCTATTTGCAACTATGATTTGTTCTGGGACGAGACATTCTGGAACTAGGAACCTTGAATGTCTTTCTAAAAAATATGAAATAATAATACTATAAAGGAGACTATTACCTCATGCAAATTCTCTTTGAATTTATCCACAACTTATGTTTTACTTACAAGCATTTGTTACAGCAAAACTGTTGGCTGTCTCAATGTTGTCCACATGAGGTACCAAATTAAAAGGAGCTTCCGACGCATTGGGGCTAGTGTTGTGAAGAAAAATTGCTAATCGAAAAGCAGTGTATTCCTGGTCTGTGTTTCGGATGAAGAGACCGCCTATTTTAAAAAAAAGGCAAGAAAAGAACATTCAATGTTTATTTTTGTAAATGTTAAAGCCACTGTACATACAATTAAGGAACCGCATCTTGGGAGACTGCTGTCTGTCCCTAAGACACATGTTTCAGAATTTTAGTCTTCAGGATAGCTCAGCTCCTTTTCTGTCCTGTTCTGTCATGATCACAATGACCTCTGAGACCATTTAGTATGTTTTCCTTCCGTCTTCCCCATGATTCCCAGCACACTGCTACATCAGCCAGCTCTGGGCATTTCTAAGATGCATGCAGATGAACACAGAAGAGGCTTTGCACGAAAATACAAAAATAAAGGGATATGGTGACAAATGGGGAAGAGGGAAATCAGAAAGGAGAAATGAACTTTGTTTTCCTGCAGCTCTCCACTCAGCCTAATTAGCTCTGTTTTGTGCACAGTCCACAAGAAATGATGCAGTGTTGAAGCTGGGCTTAGCTGGAAGAAATTCAATAGCTGCATCCCATTAAAAGACAGAAGAGGAGACTAGCAAGGAAAGCCAAGGATGGATAGGGTGGCTGGAAATAGAGTTCCGAGAGAAGGGAAGGCAGAAGATTCAAGAGGCTAACAAAATAAAAGGAGGGAAGCTTCCAGGAAAGAAATCTAACTTTAGAATCAGTTAACTGGGAGCAAGAGAAGACATGGGAGAGCAGGTGGAAAAACTCCCCCTTAACACACACACACACACACACACACACACACACACACACACACACACACACAGACCTGCCTTTCTGTAATAGTGGGAAGGCTGCAGTGCTCAGTATGAAAAGTAGAAGACTTAAAACAACAACATTTAAAAACTGATACCCCCTCCAGCTCAAGAGAAAGGAATAAAAGAAACTATTACATAAAATGCAATCAAACACCTGGGAGATTTCCCCCAACTTATTCCAATCACACTTGACTGACTTCAGTGTAAACGGGAGTGCAGGCTGGGGAACGGGTAGGCTGGTCGGGATATATCCCAGCTAAGCCTGCACCAAAGAGGGTTTGGGTGCAGGCGAGAGCGAGAGGAGGGTGGAAAGCGATTCTCCGATCGCTCCCTGTAACTCCCTTTAACTCACTTTCGAACGTCGGCTACAGCCGCCCCCCTGCACACCCCGCCAGGGCAAGCTTACCTATTTGTACGCTGCTCGGAAAGGCTCCCATGGCGAGACCCCAAAATCCAGAAAATAACAGGACAATCTGTCTGCAAATAATCCTCATCTTCTTTTCTCCTCTCCCTGGCGCGCGCTCTTTCTCTCGCACTCTTCCTAAAAGCTGTTCAGAGAGGCATTGAAGACGATGGCGCTAAAATCAAAAACAACCAAAAAGACAAAAAAAAAAAAAAATTTAAAAAAGGAAGAAAAAAAGATAAAAGAAAAGAAAGGGGGAAAAAAAGAGTCAGGTTGAGCGGGTAAGCGATGCTGCCAATTTCCCTTTAGCAATCCATCGCGAGCCGCCAGATTTTGCCCGCAGTCTCCATAGCCCTGGGAGAGGTTTTCTGTCCGGCTGCAAATGTTGCACATGCAAAAGATGGTGGTGGAGCGTCTAGTGGCTGCTCTGCTCGTGGGGATGAGACATGCGCTCTGTCTTTGCTCCTCGCACTCGCGCTCGCCCCTCTCTTTCTCTCCCTCGCGCGCGCACTCACACACACACACACACACACACACACACACACACACACACACACACACACTCACACGCACACACACACACACGCGCACACACACGCACACACACACGGGCGCAGGGGCCGCACGCGCTCCGCAGCTCGCCCCGCGGGCAATCCCCCCCAAACCTGCGCCAGCCGGGGGCACAGCAGCCCGCCGCGGGGGCCGCTCCCGCTCTTGTCCCGCCGCGCGCCCCTCGCCCTTCACTCCGCAGGCTGCACCCCGGGGTGCTCACCCGACGCTCCGGAGCCCGGCCCGAGACAGGTCTCTCTCCTCCTGGCCACCGCCAGCGGATCCCTCCTTTCTCCGCGGCCGGGCGGCAGAGGGACCCGCGCTGGGGGAGAACGCCTCCAGCGCCCCTCTTCTTGCTCTCCAGGCGCTCGGCGGCTGGACCACACTCAGTAGGCGACTGGCCCGCGGGCCAGTGCTCCAGCCCGACCCGGGGCTGGGGGGCTAGCACCTCCCCAAAGCCCCGACCCCCTGCCGCATTCTTGCAGGCAGGCGGCGAGGAGCGGCTGCCTGCTCCCCCTACAGTCCGTGCCTTCCCCCAGCCTCGCCCTCTTCTGCCACTGGGCTGCGCGCGGGGACGCAGGTCCTCTCTGCAGCAAAGATTTCTCACCAGCAAATAGCCGACAGCTCTGGAGAGCCCGAGACCTTAAAAAATTGCGGGGGTGAATGGGCTCGGGAGGAAGAAGAGAAAGGAGAGCAAGGGGCAGCTGCTAGCTGGTCTCAGAGTCCGGGACAATCAGGAGGGAAGGCTGGGCAGAGACCCAGAGAAGAGCTTTCAGAGGCAAAGTTTAGGGTGATGTGCAGGATAGAAAAGAGAACAAGAAATCCAAGTGAGTGATGTCCCAACTAAGTTCTGTCAAAGCCTGAAGCAACTCAGGGTAAGATTTGTGAAGTGTGCAGTAAGAAAACGAATCAAGGATTCGAATCAAGGATTTGTTTTCTATACAGCTAGTTCCTTTAGGTGGACCCTTCTCCCCAAGTTGGAGCAGCCTGAGGCAGCCAGAAAGGATGGGGGTGGAGGCCTGGGTGAGGATAGTGCTGGGGCAGTAGGCATTAAGTGTCTTTTTTGTACACACGTTTTATTTGGGATCTGGAACATCTACTGTATTTTGTGCCTCTCTTGGGAAACTCCAGCACTGCATTGTCAGCAGCTGCTTTGACTGGCAGAAGGAAATGAAGTATCCCAGAGAGTTTCAGTCTGGGGTACCCTTCTCCTTACAGTCCCCTTAAGACTTCAGTTCCCCTGTGTCTTGGATAGGATCTGCCCCACACAGAGCTAGTTCAAGGAATCACTGGTTTCTCATTTGCTCTGAATGTTTCCCGCTCTCCTCATCTGCAGAGTAGAGACAATCCTTGCAGATCCAAGGAATCTTGGCAGGAGAAGAGTCTCTTTAAACATTTAAAGCAGAGTCTCTCTTTATATCTTACAAAACAACTATAATGTCTATGATTCTCCAATGTAAATCTGAGGAAAGAATATTGTCTTGATAAATGTGGAATTCCTTCAAGGTTCCCATCTGGTAAAGACATTTTTTGGGAAGACTTACTATACTTACCTTTTATTGTACATTTCCAGAGTTCAGCAATAGCAATTACTGATATTTAGGGTTTAGTGATTATGTTTAATAATCCCTGTTAACACCGCAGAATGCCTAAGTTCTGAATTCTTTTTTAAAAATAATTTTTTTGTTATTTATCCACTTTCTTGTTATATTTCACTACAGACTGTTATGACAAAAAACAACCTAATCGTGAGTAATTGGATTACACAAATCATGAATTTGTTATTTCATTTTGCAAGTCAAGTGAGATATGAAATGTTTTTCTTTCTGTAATTTCTGTTAGTGTAAAATCTAAAGCTACAAATAATATGATTATGTTTTTCTCGTCACAGTTAAAGACATATAAAACTTAAATTGAATTAAAGATAAATTAAGATGCAAAACCTGACAAATCATTTAACTATAACCTAGTTAAAGGAGTGAACCCTCTAATACACAGAAGTAACTATTAGCTTCTATTCTTCCCCAAAATGACAATATTTGAACTTTCAGATGACACAGTTACTGTTACTGACACTGTCCTCCCGTTGTTCATCAATTTGCTCGAGCGGGCTCAGTAACGTTTCCATTTTGAGATTTGTTGTTACTGTGTTTGGCATATTGAATACATCACAGGTAGCTTGCCAGGCTTTGTCGCACTGGCGAGATGCTCTCAGTAGCTTGCCGGGCTCTCTGAGAGGGGTAGAGGAATCAAACCCAGCTCAGCTGGGCTGGCTGCACGCAAGGCAAATGCCCTAGCACTGTGCTATCGCTCCAGCCCAGATGACACAGTATCACCATTAATTCAGATGCAGGCAAGTTTAGGTTTTAATGTGACTGCCATGATGGCGATTGGCTCATATGACCATATGTTTCCAAGACAAAAGTCAAATTAAATTTTTTCCCAGTAAATTAAAACCTCTTACTTTATGAACCTACATGATTACACTTGTATGACATCTCTAATTATAGAAGTCTATAGATACATAACTCTAGCTACTCACTCATGTCATCTGTGTCTTTAAGATGCACCAGACTGGGGCCTGAGAAAGAGAACAGTGGTTAAGGTGCTTGATTTTCCCTCTTTCAATTCCAACATACCATATGGTCCCGAGACCCACCAGGAGTGATCGATCCCTAAACACAACCAAGCTAGGAGTATTCCCTGAGCACAGCCATGTGTATCCTCCTTCCCTCTGCCCCCACCTCCTACCAAAAACAAGAAACAAATAAAAAAAAAACACCAAAAGTGAAATAACTTTGGAGTCAGTTAAGAAAGCAGGTGAATTGAAGTTGGGATATATATATACATATGTATATATATATATATATATATTGAAGTTGGGATATATATATTTATATATTTTATGTATATAACAAAACTCATCAAAAATCGAAAGAAAACAGTGCAATAGAATCTGATGACATAGAATCAATATCATTGACAAAAATCTGAGAAGAAACTGCACATGAATCAGGGAAGGCTTTGAGGGGTGAGTTTCAGTGAGTAGATATAATAGGTAGTCAGATGAATACATACACCCATATGTAACCTTCTAGATAGAAAAGTGGGGTCCAAAGGACTAAAGATATAAATCACATCCTGATGAGCTCTATGCAATATCCAGCCTGGGAGGATGATTTAAACAAAAAGGTGTTTGTAACATTTATGAAGCATATTGAATGAAGTCCTTGGAAATGAGCTGTCTAATATTACATATTTATATACTTGACTGAATAATCATATAATCAAGTATATGTTTTAGAAAAGGAAATTTGGGAGACCGTTGTGCAGGGGCTTGGGGGCTGGAGCAGGACATGGCTTAGTGATTATAGGCCAAGGAAGGTAGGAGGTAAGACTCACAGACCGTTCTTCAGAGATTTTATTGATTTTCAGAAAAATCAGGTGGGATGAGATTGGACTGGAGACAGGGAGTAGGGAAAAATGAAGTGGAAGCTAGCAGAGCTACTGCTGAGGCAAAACTGACAGCCCCCTCATCAACTGTGCTCAAAGGTAACTTCAAGTGTGAATTTCTAAAAAGAAATTGCAGCAAACATAAAAGAAATGGGAAAAGAACTTAGAAGTCAAGGGAAGTTTGCTGCAAAACAAGTTTTTAAATTCTTGGGTTAGGAGATGGTACAGTGATTAGTTATCCAGGTCTGATTCCAAAAACCACATGGTTCCACAAGAATTGCTCTGTGTAGCCCTGGAGGCCCCTGGCACTTCCAGGATAGCCCAACTATTTTTGGCACCATATAACCTGAGCAGCATTACATCCTCAGGCCCTTGCCTTGAATCACAGGTCTGGTTTGCTGAGAAATGCTGGTTTGGGCCTCAGGACCTCCTGAGAAGTCCGCCACCCCCACTCAAATAGGTTGGAGTTCTTGATGAAGATTTTCTTATGTGGAATAATTCCAAGAGCTAGGGATAAAAGTCAGGTCTCATAGACCATGTCTTCATTAAAACCTGCCGAGTTAATGAGCTCAAGGTGAAATAAGTGGTCTGAAAGTTCAAAAGTAAACTGGAAGAATCCCAGTACTTCAGAAAGTACTGTGAGCTTTTAGAGTAACAATAACTGAACGTAAAGACCCTTAGCTTTCTGGCTACATCAATGGATGCATTTTTAAATAAATTTTCAGCACAGTTCTAACATGCCATAGACAATTCTTGTTAATAAGAGTCGCCAAAAATGTGACTCAGGCTCCAATAGGGGGAAGCACAGAGTGCCAATTGAACAGAATAGAAAGTTGAATTCTGATTTTGAGGAAATTCAGGAAGAACTTACAGAGAGAGGACCTAAACCGAATTTATATAGCTATGTAGTGATTAATAGGCAGAGAAAAAATACCCATAAGACATAAGACGGCATCTACCTTTATGGAATGTAATAGTTTGGAATAACTGGACTTGAGGATATATCAGGGAAAGTGCTAGAAATGTGCACAGAAAGCAAAGAAAGGGATGGTCTTGCTAAACAATTTCATCTATTTGTTACAGCAATAAATATTAAAAGGTCATCAATCAAGAGGTAAAATGATAAGACACATTTTTATCCAAAATCTTGGTAAATATGGTACGTTTTATATAATGAGACTGGAGGCAGGGAAAGAAATTAGAAGGTGAATAAATAGTCTAGGTAAAAAAATAGGGGAAAAACTATTAATGGTAAAATTTATTATCTGACCCTGAAATCATGCTTTTACATTTCAATCCCAAATATACACTATCAGAATTATGAAAATTGCATGTGCAAAGCCATTTACTATAGTACTATATATCTCTGCAATATATCTATCATTTGGAGACTGTCCTAGAAACTATGGTATATCTACACAATGGTCTGCCTTAGAGTTCATGAAAAAGAGTATCTCTCACTGCAGAGATATTTCAAGGATAATTTATATAAGTAATATGAGACAAGTGTGTGAGAGAATTGGGATATGGTCAGAGAATTGGGATGGAAAGAAAGAAGAAATAAATCTTCCCAAGGTATTTAGATTTTCATTATATAAAACAAAATAATTCTGGACCAGAGAGAGACAGTACAAGACAGGTGTTTGCCTTGAACCTGGCTTACATGGGTTCAATCCCCTGCACTTCATATGGTCTTCTGAGTCTACCAGGAGAGGTCCCTGAGTACAGAGACAGGAATAAGGCCTGAGTAAAGCCAGAGTGGCCTCAACCTCCCCCAAACCCCAAATAAAAATAAAACAATTTTGGCTTACTCTCTGTAGGGGTTATCTTCTACAGACAAAAGTGATTGCTAACAAAACTTACACAGACTTTACTAACTATATTGTCGTTGCTACTATTGATATTGGTATTCTTAGAAAGTTATGTGTATATTATCACATAATGCAAACTAATTATTATGCTGATGTTGTTGGAATGAGTACTGAAGAGAAGAGATACATATTTAAAATGAAAGAAAAAGTAAAAAAATAAAAAGGATATTAGTTATAAATTTGAATTGGAAGTTTCAGCAAATCAGAGATTTATGCCATGTTTTCACC